GTTTTGATGAAATAAGACAAAGTGAATTAAGGGGAATTCCTTCCATCAAGGACTTTTGCCACCATTAAAACTATAATCTGAGACACATTCAGAATGGTTTACCTGGATCAGAAATGTAGAAAGCTGTATGACATCAAGGTTATGTGTCCACAGGTAGGTTTGCCTGAAGGTTCTGCACTTCTTACAAATCTTAAAACAGTAACAAAGATTAAGGTGAGATAGGAATGAACCAGAGTACATGGTTGTGATCTCAAAAGCAGAGGTGGATTATCTTTTGGTCCAAGGAAAGGATTCTAATCTTCAAAGAATTCTGAAAAGTATTAAACCTACCATGATGCATTTTCTCCTCACGAAAGTGCCCAGTTTGAAAAAGTGATAGTAACATTTTAAAAAAGCATGCGAAGTTGAATTCAAAAGCATTACAATTCTCAAAAGGTATTGCACCAATTCATAACTCTCATCACTTCATGAAGGTCTTTAAATTGGTCTCTTCATAGTGCTTTGTAAGTATGTCTGTTACAGTGGTGTGTTGCCAATTTCTTTACTATCGGTTCGGATGTGTTTGCGACTCTTCTGAAGCTCCGGGCATGTGGGTGGATCCTCCTGCTGCCGCTACTATCAGTTTGCTCAATCGAGGAGCAACCACCTCTGGTCTGTTACTATCTTGCCTGTGGGGTAGTAATTAGCCCCTCAGTCCCATTCAGCTGTGCATTTCATCCAGAATAGTAATTGGCACCGATGTGCTTTATATGCACAGTAATTTTCTATGATTTCAAAATCAGAATGCAACTTTAATTGTCCTCATGCGTAATTGTGGGACTAATTTATGCATCCAGGTTAATTTTACCTGCAGGTATGTAGTCTGCTGTGAATGAGAGGGTGATTATTGATTGCTTTCTATTAGTCCAACTGCTCTCCATCGTGAAATAAATTTATACTCATTGATTTTCTGAACTTCCAGCCCATTTGCATCCATAATCTTGTACTTACCTGACCAGACTGATCTTGAAATGCTAACTAGCATCAGATCTGTTTAAATTGGATGGGTACCCATCAAGAAACAGGAAATTGGAAAAGAAAAATATCTAGGTATGGTATTGGTGCACCAGCCACCAAAAAAAACATACCCGTATTTTTCAGAGTATAAGGCACACCTTTTTCCCTCAAAAAAGAGGCTGAAAATCTGGGTGCATCTTATACACTAAATACGGCATTTTTTGCCTCCCGAAACCCCACCCCTTCACCAAAATGGCAGAGCCTGTAGAAGGCTTTCAGAGAGCTGGGGGTTGGGGAAGGCAGAAATGAGTGAAAAACGGCCGGTTTTTTGTTCTGTTTTGCCCCCTCAGCCCCCAGGAGTACTCTATAAGCCACCTAAAGGCTATGCATGCAATTTTTTTGCCAAAAAATGGGCCGTTTTTGCTTGTTTTTGCCCTCCCCCCAGAGCACTCTGCAAGCCCCCTAAAGGCTATTCATGCCTTTGGGGGGGGGGAAATGGGCCCATTTTTGCAAAAAATGGGCCGTTTTAGGGAGGTTTGCAGAGTGCAAAAACTTTTTTTCTAATTTGCCTCTTCAAAATCTTATTCTGAAGCTTTTAGGTTTTTTTTTTTTAGGTTTTATTAAACATTTATAGGCCGCCCTTTTCCCTGAGGGGACTCAGGGCGGCTTACAATAATAGGGGAGGGGAGTATTTTAAGCTAACATACTTGGCAGATTCCAAGTTAATCGAATAGAATTCTTTATTGGCCAAATTGATTTAACACACAAGGAATTTATCTCTGGTGCATAATCTTTCAGCGTACATACAAGCAACAATTGATCAATCATGATCATAATCATAAAATACAATCATTGTAAATCATAAGATATAGATAGCACTCAGTGATAGTCATAGGATACTAAATAAGCAATCAACATAAATCATAATAGGATACTAAATAAAAACAATCCACATAAATCATAAGATACAAACAACAAAGTTATAGTCATAAGAAGCTAAGGAAATAGGTTGTAGGAAAGATGAGAAGGATAATAGTAATGCAGCCCTACTAGGTAGTTTGACATTCCAGGGCTTAAGACAGTGTTGTGGGAATTAGTTGTTTAGGAAAGTGATGGTATGGATTTGGGGGGGGGGGTGTCCTTGAATCTAGTTGTTTGGCATGCAATGCTCCATAACATTGTCTTAAGGGAAGTTGAAACAGTTCACGACTGGGATGTGTTGGCTGATATTTTCACATCCCTCTTTCTAGCTTGTGCGGTATACAGATCCTCAATGGAAGGCAGGCTGGTTGCAATTGTTTTTTCTGCAGTCCTAACTATCCGTTGAAGTCTGTATCTGTCTTGTTTAGCTGCTGTGCCAAACCAGACAGTTATAGAGGTGAAAATAACAGAGTCAATAATTTGTAGCGGTATTAGCAGCTTTCTGAGTTTTCTGAATTGGTTCAGAAAGAATATTCTTTGCTGTGCTTTTTTGATGACATTTTTGATGTTAGGTGTCCATTTTAAGTCTTGAGATATTATAGTACCTACAAACTTGAAGGTCTCTACTGTTGATACCGTGTTGCCTAGTATTGTAAGAGAGGGTATTATTTCTACAGTTTTGAGTGTGTTCAGTTCAAGATTGTTCCAGCTACACCACACCAGTTGATCAATTTGCCGTCTGTATGCAGATTTGTCATCTCAAATGAGACCAATCACATTGTGTCATATGCAAACGTCAGTACTTTAAGTTTGAGATGCAATCATTAGTATAGATAGAAAAGAGTAGTGGAGAGAACACACAGCTCTGGGATACCTGCTAATTGTACAGGTATCTGATGTGATTTTGTTTGGCTTCACCTCCTTCTTCCTAAGCTTATGATCTACTTACAAGTGTGGTCAGGCACAGCTAGTTGAATCAGTTTAGTGAGAAGAATATCTGGAAATATGGTATTGCATGCTTAGCTGAAGTCTACAAAAAGGCTCTTGCATAGGTCCTTGGAGATTCAAGATGTAAGATGTAGTGCAGCGCCATATTAACAGAATCATCTACCGATATATTTGCTCAATAGGCAAATTGCAAGGGATCTAACACTGGATACATGATGGTTTTCAGGTGGGGCAATACTCCAAGGGCCTGTTTCTATCTATCTTAGAACCACACCAACTTTTTTCAACAGATTGCAAACTATGGTAGCGCTGTTTTTCTCTTGCCAAACAACAAACTAGAAAAATTACTTAACAATATATGAGACAATGTCTTCCTTTGCAGATGGCTTGCTTGATGCGTGGAGCCATCATTAAATATGAAAGAAAATTGTCTAGGACCATCTGCTCAACCCAGAAGATGGAGTAATGGAAAATACAGCAAACTATAGCTGCAATTTGCCTAGTTAAGAAGATTGTTTGCAATATCTTTGATTCATGATGCAATTCTTGGAGACATAAAATTTGACTCATTATCTTCTGGATAATATTTTCCATTAAAACCACCAGCTTCTTACAGGACTTGTTTTATGAAACCTAAAAGATTTATTATAGTACTGTATAGCTTTTGTGGGCTACAGACCACAATGGCAAATGCCAGAAATACGACACTGATCATTCACAAAATAATAATTTCAGGACACTGAGAAAGATCCTGATGTTCACAATGAAAATTGAATCCTTCAAATGAATTCACCATTTCTTACTCTTGATTTACTGGGTCTAACTCCAGTGGTCAGTGGATTTCGTATGTAAACAAGCAACCAAAGCTGCCAGAACTTGCTTTGCTTTCCCAATTTGTAACAGCTTTCTGAAGAGCACTGGACTAGGCACTATCACAAGGCCTTTTTCAAGAAAAACAGTGTCTGCTGAGGGTGACGGGATTAACAGTGCTAAAATGATGGAGTATTGTGTTGTAAAGGCTGACTTCTTTTTTTTTTTAACATATGCTAAAGTCATTCTTTCTGCCTTCTTGTCAATTTTGGCTGCCACCGTGTATGCTGCTGGCACCAGTCTTGACTTTTAGATATGTCTTTTAGATAGTGGGAATTTGGTCACTCATAAAAAGGAAATCAAATGCATGACTATAGGTTTAAACCAGTGGATCCCAACCTTTTGGGTATGGTTAGCAGTTAGACTTAGCAATAGCAGTTAGACTTATATACCGCTTCATAGGGCTTTCAGACCTCTCTAAGCGGTTTACAGAGTCGGCATATTGCCCCCACAATCTGGGTCCTCATTTTACATACCTCGGAAGGATGGAAGGCTGAGTCAACCTTGAGCCGGTGAGATTTGAACCGCCGAGCTGCAGAACTAGCAGTCAGCTGAAGTGGCTGCAGTACTGCACCCTAACCACTGCGCCACCTCGGCTCTTATGGTTCCATGGAGAGAGCTTTTTCTGCGGACCAGAGAGGGTGTGGTTTCACATCCTGCCTGCATCCTGTGGATGAGGCTTTCCTTGTTTGGGTGGACTGGTTGCTGACATCCCACAGACTAATGCTAGTCCATGGAGCGGAGGTTGTGGACTCCTAGTTTAGACCATTTTTAAACCACCTTAACCTTCATTTAACTTCAGTGCTGGAGAATTCTGGGACTTGAAGTCCACACATCTTAGAGTTGCTGAAGTTGAGAAACATTGATTTGGACTGTGGTGCTTTCATGCCAAAATGTTGGGTTCCCCACACCCCTGACATCCATGAAAAGGAATATGGAGAGAAATAATGCTGTGGGTATCATTTCGCCTCCAGCACCGGCTTCTGGAAGCCAGCAAGATCTAGACTCGCCACCAGAGAGCGCACCGAAAGAGCCAATTCCGTTTTACTGCGCATGTAGACTCGCAATGCGGTTCCCTTCGTGGAGGCGCGCGCGGCGCTTTATTTCCAAGGCTGGAGCTGATCCGCTGCTGTCGGCTCGATTTGCACGTTAAACCTTAAAATAAGGGCAGGCGGGGGGTGGGGGGAGCCATCGTCACGGGTTTTAGAATCCGGAGAGGCTCCTTAAAAGCAAACCTGACGGGAAGTAAAAGATTGCACGCCTAAATCTATCGCGCTTGGAGGCATGGAGTAATTAATACTCACTGCAGGTTCTGATCAGTTTTAAAACTGGAGGCAAGAAGAAGCGGGGAAGAAGGATCGTTTTTCTCGCTTGCATCTTTTGTGATGGCTTCGTAGCATTGATACCGGTAGAATCCCTAACCAATGGGCGGAAGGATGGCTTCCGTGGGCGGGCTTTAAGAATGGCCTTGAATAGGCGCACGAATTCAAGGGGCTTCTGCCCAATGTCCTTGCAAACGCGGAGGCACAGAGTGGCGGAGCTGTCAGTCTTCATCTCTCGGACGATCTTCTTCCCAGACCATTGGGAAAACGATGCCCATGTTGGCAGAAGGGGGCTTGGCTTATTGCATTGGCATCACTTTGCTTTGTCTAAGAGAGTTTGCAGCTGAGGCTTCGGGATGGACAGGTAAATGTTTGCATCTCTCTGCAAGGCTAATATTGTAATTAAAGCTGCTAATTGAGTGGCATCCGATCCATTCAACTAGAGCACCTTAACCATGAGTGTAAATATCCTCAGCATTGGAAAATAATCTTTATATTTTCTTTAAATGGTGCCATTATTATTATTTTTTAAAGGGTATTTAGTGGGAAATAAAATGCTCTTGTTCTAGGGAATGGAACCAGAATGCTATGCAAGCATTTCTGGGAAGAGGAAATATGAGGTGTGTGTTTAGTTGTCATAACTGCATAAGAATTTGTGCATAGGTAACAGGTCTAAAGCAGATTGAACAGGACAGCAGAATTGTTATTCCTCATCTCCCCGTTCTGCTTTTATTACTGCTGTAATTGTTCTGCTTCCAAGAAGGTTTAATTCAGAAGCAGTGCATTTGTTTGCGAAAAGATGTTCAACAGGTATGCCCAGGAGAAATGGAATTGCTGTTTTTTTTTCCAAAACAACACCCACAACCTGGTGTCAGCAGAACCCTGTGGGACAACTTAACAGCAGTTATAATTAAGAGTCACAGCCTCTAGTTGGACTAAGTGTGGAAGTTTTTAATTTTAGGTTAATTGGAAAGGTATGAGTACTCTTTAAAGAACCAACACAGGGTCTTAAAATGCCAATGGTACTCATGATGTTCTTTGAAAAATATGCTCCAAAAATGAATAAAGTGAATAATTCATATAGTAGGTGGGTTGGTTTCCTCCTTGATTGGGGAAGAGGAGACAGCAGCTTGCCTGTTACTTCACTCTGGTCATTGCTCTCCATGGTCATTTTTAAAAACATATTCCCTCTCCTCCCTTGAGAAATCTTCAGCCAAATCAAATGGAGAAGAGTTCTGCCACTTCCTCCTTTAGCCTAAACAACAAGAACAATTATCCATACAAAGGTGTTTCTTCTCCAACATGTCCATCATGGGGCCCACCAGATAAGAACGTGTCAAATATTTAAGGGGATCAATTTGGGAAGAGGGGATGAGGGTGGAGGAAGGAAGGGATCCTACAAATGATATAAACCAAATGTCCTGAAAGTTTTCCAGCCATGGACAGGAGGAATAAAGCAGCAGAGGAATCCACCAATCAGGGCAGCAGAAAACATGAGAACCTCAGACCATCACTTGACAAAAAAATAGGAAAGGGTTGAAAGTCAGAAAGGAATTTCTTGAGCTAGTATGGTTCCAATGAGTTTATGCACAACAATTAAGCAAGACAAAATACAGTAAAAGTTATAGAAGCTTAAGATAGATATTACATCATTGTCAGTTTAATATAGAGGATAAAAGTAGTAACACCTAGAGCTGTAGAGAAGTAAAAATAAGAAAATAGGGCTTAAATTAAAAAAAAAATAGGATCAAGAATAAAATATATGGGGGAACATATTTGCTTCATCAAAAAACTCATGTCAGCATTCTTGTATTTACTCCAGTGAAATAAATAAACTTTCTTTTCTGAACATTTTAATAATAAGACTCTTAAGCGTAGACATTGTTTCCCCTCCTGCCTGAATCTGTTACTATCCCCAAACCGAACCAATGATGACTAAAGTGCTTTTGCTCTATGTCAGGGATCCCCAACCCCTGGGCCACGGCCCATTGCTGGGCCGTGAGCAGTTTGGAACCGGGCCGCAGAAGTGGCGGGTGAGTGTGTGCACATGCATGGATTCCCACTTGCGCGAGTGGGCATGTGCACATGCACTCCATTTGCCTGTTTGATGGGTGCAAACAAATAGAGCTGTGCATGTGCTTGACAACTGTTTGAATGGAACCATTCCCTCTGCCACTGGTTCACAAATCCGGAAAGGATGGGGAACTCTGGTTTATGTAGGATAATGCTTACTACGTTCCCCTGCTCTCAACTGTCATCAACAAAACATAGAGACAAAATAAAGGCTGTACTTTGGGACAGCCCTTTTAAAAATGGTTCCTAGACCTTGACTGACACACCGATGGCATCCTTTCTCCCCCAATAATTGTTTATGGTGTAGGTAGTAATGAGCACACATCTGAGCAGCAGCTTCCCTGTTCTCTTGTTGTGAAACACTTTTGAACAATTTGGAAATAACGATAATTATAAATAGCGTTGCACATAACTTCAAAAAGAACAATTCCTCTTTCTGATGGGGAAAAGAAACCCACTGGTGACCAATGTTCTCTTTTTCCTAGAGATCAGGCAGTGTTTTAAAGACAGAGGAAACAAGTACAGGTATTATCGATAGTTTGTTCTCTTTTTCCTAGAGATCAGGCAGTGTTTTAAAGACAGAGGAAACAAGTACAGGTATTATCGATAGTTGAGGGAACTAGGTATGCCTGGCCTTTTAAGGAGAAGAATTAAGAGAGACATGATAACTGTCTTTCAATACCTGAGGGGCTGTCCCAGAGAAGAGGAGATTGACTTTTTTCTCTGAAGCATCTTGAGGGCAGGACAGGAAGTAACGGGTAGAAGCTTGTTAAAGAGAGAACCAATCTAGAAGTAAGGAGAAATTTTCTGACAATGAGGACAATTAATTAATGGAATAGTTTGCCTCCCAAAGTTGCGGGTACTCCATCACTGGAGATTCCCAAGAATAGACTGAACAACCATTTGATTGGGATGGTATATGGTCTCCTATCTTGAGCAAGGGATAGGATAGGATAGGATAG